GTGCTGGGGGATTGAACTGCGGTCCCTGGGCTTTGCTTAGCTTGTTCTAAGTAGGTGCTTTAGACCACTGAGCCATCTCACCAGCCCCAAGCCTTTAATTTTTATCTTTTTTTTTTTTTTTTCTGGAGTGTTGCAGATACATTCTTGGGGAAGGGGTGTCCTCTAGTGTTTTTTGTTTTGTCTTTAAAAGGAGTCTTGGCTTTTGCCCGCAGCGGGAAACGCACCAATTTATCCACACACCACCTCAACCAGAGAAGAATATGCTAATTAAAGTGAAGACACTGACCGGAAAGGAGATTGAGATTGACACTGAACCCTCAGACAAGGTGGAACGAATCAAGGAGCGTGTGGAGGAGAAAGAGGGAATCCCGCCACAACAGCAGCGGCTCATCTATAGCGGCAAACAGATGAATGATGAGAGGACAGCAGTGACTACAAGATTCTAGGTGGTTCTGTCCTCCACCTGGTGTTGGCTCTGAGAGGAGGAGGTGGTCTTAGGCAATGATGAGTCTTCCCTCCTCTGTACCTCCCTCCCCTGTCGCTCATAGTGAAGTATATATTCTGTCACTGGCTGGGACACATGAGCCGTTGCCTCCTGTCTTGGCTGCCCTGTGTTGTGTATTTACGGATGGGAGACTGAGGACCCCAGGATGCAGTGTTCCTGGCCCAGCGGGCCTTTGCTGACTAGTGGGTTTTAGTTTGCAGTCCTGTGCACTTCCCTCTTATGGCTGTGTCCCTGATTGCCAATAAAATATTTCCTATCCTTCTGGAAATAAATAAAAATAAAAAAATAAATAAAAGGAGTCTTGATTTTATTTGAGAGACATTGTTTTGCTAAGAGCACAGTTCCTGTTACTGAGAGGGCAGGGCGCCCCCTACTGGAGAAATGATTGTATCTCACGGGATGCGTATCTGCTGGTGAGCGGGCAAGGTGTGTATGTAGATTTCCTATGTGCACACAGTGTACCCTTATTAAGAAACGCGTGTTTATGTTAGTGCTTTGTATATAAGGGTCATACTTTATTTTTTCTTTTTGTTTTTAAAATTTATTTGAGGCCGGGGAGATAGCTCAGTAGAATAAACACTTGCCTGGCAAGCATAAGGTCCTGAGTTCAATCCCTGGTACCACAAAAAAAAAAAAAAAAAAAAAAAAAAAAAAAAAAAAATCATACATGGTCTTACTATGCAGTTCAGACTTGAGGTGCTCCTCCCATCTCAGCTCTAGGGCTACAGGTGCGCGCCACCCCGGCCAGTTTCAAGGCGGGCACATCTGGGTTTCTGGGGCTGGCTTGGCATGTGGTGCCAGGGATCCAGCTCAGGTCCTTGTGCTTGCCAGGCAGGAACTTAGACTGCTGAGCTATCTCCCTGGCCCAAGTGATACTCTTCCTGCTGGGGTTTCTTTTTCTGCTTGTCTAATGGGTGTGGCCAGATTCTCTGCTACCCTGAGAACAGAGGCCTTCCTGGTCATGGGAGACCTGGGGGACACTGCGAGGGGGCTGTCAACCAGTACCAGTGGGACAACTGGAGAACCATGGGGAAAAGGT